GTCATGCCTAGCCAACCTGATTTTCTTCTGTGACAAGGTGACAGGCTCAGTGGGAGTGGGTATAGGGCAGTGGATGCACTAAACTTTAGCAAAACTTTTAACATTGTCTGCCACAACATTCTCATAAATAAGCTAAAGAAATACAGACTAGATGAAGTCCTGTAAGGTAAATAACATAATGTGCTGGATCATCATGCTCAAAGAGTAATCATCCATGACTCAATATCTAATTAAGAGAAGATATAAAGGGGGGTTCCCCACAGGTCTTTCATGGGTCCATGATTGTTTAACAACTTTATTAATGATTTGGAGAATGGACTAAGTATACACTTAAATTTCTGGATGACAAGTTGAGTGAAACTGCAGACATTCTGGAGAGCAGAGGATTCAGAATGACCTGGATAAACTGGAGAAATGGTCTGAAATCAACCAAATGAAATCAGTTAGGACAAGTACAAACTCATAAACTAAGGACAGAATAAATGCTTTCACAAATACAGCCAAACAGTCAACTGACTAGGCTGTAGTACTTCGGAGAACAACCTGTGGGTTACTAGAACCATAAGCTCATTATATGAGCTTATTAGACCATAGAGTAGTCTTGCTGCAAAAAACACAACAAAACAAACTCCTCCCCTCCCCGCTCCCCTATTCCCCCTCAAAAAGCAGGAGTATACTGGGTTGTATTAACAGTAGGGAATAAAGGGAAGTGCTTCTTTTGCTCTATTCAACACTGGTAAGGCCTTGCTTGGAATACTGTGTCCAGTTTTGGACCATAGACTTCAAGAAGGATGGGGACAGACTGGAAAGAGTTCAGCTGAGAGGGGGTCTTGAAAGCATGACTTGTGAGGAAAGACTGAAAAAACTATGATTATTTAGTATGCAGAAGAGAAGACTGAGAGGGGCTTTGATAACAGGTTTCAGATACCTGAAGGGTGATTATAAAACAAGGTGGAGATTGACTATTTTCTATGGCTACAGGGGATAGGACTAGGAACTATGTCTTCAAACTGCAGCAGAGGAAATTTAGGTTGGAGAATAAGAAGTACTTTGTCATTATGAAGGTATAGTTAAGCTTTTAAACAGATTTCCCAGAGACGCTGTGGAATCTCTGTCTCTGAACAGTTTCAAGAGGAAGTTAGATAGACACTTGCCTGTAGTGAAGCTGCCTTGAGCAGAAGGTTGGACTGGATGACCTGAAGAGGTCCCTTCTAGCTCTATTTTACTATGATCTTATGTTACCAAATAGAACAAATTAAAATGCTAGACCTTAAGTTGAGCCTGTACCTTTGCATAATTTAGAGAAACTCAAGAGTCTCAATGGCAGTACATGTAAACTGACTTGTAGGGAAGGTAAGTCTAGGGTAGTGATTCTCAAACAGGGTGACAGGCAACCCTGGGGTGCCAGAAGATCATATGAAGTATGTCACAGGAAATGTGAGGAGATAAATAAAGTGTGAAGGGTGTCAATAAGGAGAGGCTCCCTATCTGACTGCCCTTCCACCCCACTGTCTGGCTCCTCAGCAAGCTGGCAACTACTTTAATAAACAAGTCCATTTTTTTAAATGGGGTGCGGCTCATTTCGCAAAAGTTAAGGAATGGTGCCTTGGATCTAACTATGAGTGCCCTGAGTCTAAAAAGTTGAGAACCGCTAATCTAGGACAAAAGGCAGGGTGGCACCATAGAGACTAAAGGAACAAAAGAGAAAGAAAAACATCAAGTTTCCACAGTTAACCCACTTATTTGTATCACTGCAACCAGTAAAGATCTTCTGAAACCTACTATTGATGAGAAGCTGATGCTTGACACTAAATTGAATGCTACAGAATGGATGGAGGTTCAAACCTCTCCATACATCACAACCTAGATGTCTGATATGAACCACAGACCCTCAGACTAGACACTGTTGCACTGTCTAACCTTGAGAAATGTCTGTGTGTTTTTCTATATTTCTCCTCCAGTTGGCTGTCTTTTATGAGTCAAAGTGGGAGAGCCACAAAAAGCAAAAGACAAACTTCTGTAAAGAACTAGAAACCGCTCCATGCGAGACAAATGTCAGACTAAGAAACCTAACAAAAGCCTCAAGAATTTCCACTGCTGAATTCTGCAGTTTCAGTGGTCATTTGTTTCTAGGGCTGTGCTAAGTTTTGGTTGACGATATGATTTGGAGGAGATTTGGCCCGATTCAGCGGCTGAATCTCCGAATCTGAATCAAATCAGGAGACCAATAAAAAGGTCTGAAGCAATTTGAAGCCTCTGAATCAATTTGGAGAAGATTCGAAGAAGCTTTGGAGATTTGGAGTCCCCACTCACAGCCACAGGCTCTATGCCGGTAAGTAGGGGGTGGGAGGAGCGGCTGTAGGAGGGAGGAAGGGACCATGGGGGGACCCCTGCTAGGCCCCGTCCCCTGCCTGCTCCCCCTGCTCATCAGCTCGTCAATAGCTGCCCTGCCTGGCCCGAGCATCCTGGCATGTAAAAAAAAAAAAAAGCCCCACACTCGCTGGCTACTGCAGCAGCCATCAGGGTTTCTGAGGACTCGTGGCAGACTGCCTCATGCAGTGCAGGGCAGTGGGTAGCAGCGGGTATCGCTCCCCCGCCTAGCAGGAGCCAGTGAGTGCAGGGCTTTTTATTTTATTTTTTTTAAAGTGCCAGGATGCTGGGGCCGGGCGGGGGATGGGGCCTGTTCGATTCGGAGATTCAGTTGATTCAGCAGCAGCCAAGTATCCAAATCAGATTTGGCTGAATTGATTTGGGACAGTGATTCAAATCACCTAATCGAATCACTGTTCCCCAAATCGGCTGAATCCAAATCCAAAGCAAATACTCGCTGCTTTGCACAGGCCTGTTTCTGTTTAACTTAATAGGTTTTCCCTTTCACTTGAATATTTGGTTTGTACATTTAGAAAAATATCTGAAGTAAAGCTCCCAAATATGTAAAATCTTTTATTGGTGACTGGGGCTGAGAAAGCATAGGAGCAACTAGTTTTAGTTATATTTTCAAAAATTCATTTGCTTTCACTCTCCTGGCCAGATACATCAGTCAGCAACAAATGAGGTCTCTCTCAAAATTCAAGCATACTACTTCCAGACTTCAGGTGTAGCATCTTCCATATTTCAGCCTACCCCTATAATCCAAACTGTACAAGATATATTACTTGCATCTTTTGTAAAAACCGATCCCAGAAATACAACAGAAGTTTATTAGTGAAGATTTAATGGAATAATAAAACTAAAGATTGACAAGATGTTTGAGGTCTCTCTCACTATCTACCATCGATGTTGCTAGTCAATTGTTCAATCAAAGTATTCAGTTTTCAGAGAGTTGTTTGTATTGGGGTTTATACAAGTATGGTTTCAGATTCTCTCATGCCCTTTATAAAGCATGCCATATGTTCTCTACTATATTTATAACTGTTTGACCAAAAGTATCTTTTATATAATTTTTTTATCTTGTTCCCTCAAAACCTAGGGTTTAAAACTTTAATGAAGACTGGTTATATATCAATTCCATACCTTTATGCAGAATCTGGAAGATACAAAGCAAATCTGTTGTCTTTTTCCCTGTAAAGCGCAATCCTGGTCCCCAGGACTCCTTCCACAATAAATAACCTTCCTAAATCTAGTTAGTCTACTGGCTGGCTGATTTTTGACCATTGCTATTCCCATCAGTGGTTTTTGTACTGGATTTCTACCAAGTGCATCTTGAATGTGATAAAATATGGAATCACAAATTTAACTGAAGCCTAAATATACGAGAGGGACCTGATAAAGGGTACTGTGACGCATGGAAGCTTGCCTATGTCTATCCAAACCATGCAGTTGATCCAATAAAAGATCACCCACAAGAATTCTTGTTTCTTGCCTATTTTCTGGACCATCATGGCCACAATATCATCTCAACATTATAAACTTTATAGATACTAATGTAAACAATATGCTTTAGTTCAGGTATCAAAATTCAAATTAAATGACCAATAAACAAATATTAGTCAGGTAAAAACTATATTTAGGACTAAAATTTGATTCCAAATCAATGCAAAAAGTTTAGACTAAACATAGTGTTTATTCCCAGACTAGTTAAACTATTTCCTTACAAAACCAGTGAGTCTTCTGTTTTCTTATTCCCATAAAATTTCACCAGTTGTGCCTAAGCTGATGAAAGGTTTATGTTACAAGACCCAATTTCAGGTTGTAAGACTGAAACAAGTTCATCTTATTTTTATTTTTGTTTACCAAGAGATATTTTAATGAGTGTTCCCTTGATTTAACTAAAACAAAGTTAAGCTCAAGTTGAGCTCCATTATTTCTGTCCCAAGACAATAGCGCTATGCAGTCTTCACAGCTTGGCAATGAAGGCAAAATGCCAGATATAAAGTCGAAGTCAACACATCCTTGTGGACAGTCAGTAATGGCTGTTTTGTAATGTTAGATCATTTCCGACGTTGTCTAGACTCCTGATTATAATACTGTGCCTGCCAAATCACATGCAAAGGGCAGCATTTTTAACCTTTGTTTCATATTAGAATCATTATTATATATGCACTGATAAAGGTATTATTGACATTTTTAATGTGTATTTTTTTCTAGATAACATACACTTCATTTCAAAATAATTTTAACATAGCTAACTAATTTAACAGATTTTATATGGGGGAGTACTGTAACTTTAGTATTTAAATACCCTTATCAAATTGTTGGTTTGTTTATCTTTCTGACCTGTTGTTATAAAGCATTGACAATTCTCCCTGACAAGAGAAAATTAATTCTCTTGTGTTAGAAAAACAGATTACCTTGCTTATTTTACATCTAAATCCACAGTGTAACTGTGTGTGGCAGGTCAATAAGTGAATCAAATCAATGTTTCCAAAGTAATGTTTCCCCTAAATCAGATTTTTTTTAAATCATTCTGTATTGTGATTTTCTTCATTATAACCATGATGAGAAAGTGATGAAAATGGAACTTTAATTCCATGTGGAAAAGGTCACAACCTCAAACCTACCTCACTAGGTTTTCATTGTCTCCAGTCCCCTTGCATGTAGCACATTCAGTTCTTAAATCCTCTGACTTGGGCTTCTTTTGTAGAACAGACTGCCTTTGCCTTCTTTCTCTAGGAATACGTTCCTATCAGAGAAGCAGCAAAAGAAAGGGGGTGGGGAAAGCAAATATTTTCAATTACAGTATGGAAGGCAACATTTCACACCTAGAGTTTTAACTTAGATTAAAAAATTAAACAAACAAACAGAACAATAAAAAGGCTATTATCCCAACCTCAGGTTTTTCTTCTTCAGGAACAAAGCTTCTTTTCCGTCCTCTAGTTCTCTAAAAGAAAATACATTTAAAAATCAATTTTATGCAACAGAAAGTCTTTGCTATTTATCTTTTGTTCATAAGAGGAACAACATACCTGAGGAAATGTGTTAAAACAACTATGGAACCAGTACAATTGCAATTATAACTGTTATAAACATCACTTTAGACACCATATTGTATATAGCTATAGCCTAAAATATGCATGCCTTTATTTTTTTGTGTTGAGGGGATGGATGCTTATTCCAATGAAATAAAGCCCAATGATTATCATGTCAAACACATTTAAAAAAAATACAAACTTCTATAAGACTTACAACCTTAATTCATCAAAGAATAAAAACTTACACATCTATAGGAAAAATACCTGTAAGAGTCAGATTCCTAAAACATACGCAAGCACTATGCCAACAAGGAATATGACCATATCTACTTACTTAAATCAGTGGAGACTAATTTTGTTGATAGATGTGCCATAAATTAGCCCCATAACCTCTCCAAGTGCCTATCTTATCTTCTTCCTGCCTGATCAGCTGCTCTTTCTGCTCCTTATCCATTTTACTGCTCTGCCTTCTGCTTACTGCCCTATCTGCTGCCGTGCTTTTCTCTCCAGGTCTGTTGGGTGCCACACACAGAAGCTGCTTGTGCCACTTTTGGATGCATGCCACAGGTTGGCCACCACTCTCTCACATTATTGCTACTTGTTATGCTCAGAGTCCTATACGGTACTTTAAATCCATCCTAGAATCTCAGAGCATTTTAGAAAAATGTCCCTTCTGCATTATTTGGTGAGAAGAAATTCTGTGATGTTGGTCAATACCACTTTAAGCACAACCAAGATTAACACATTTGCTAACCTAACCGACCAGTCACCAGGATAATTTTAGTGTCCACATCCTAATGTGCTAGAAAACTGGAAACACTTTGTTTCTGAAACAACCACGAAGGGTGCACTTTTGCACAATGGTCAGTTTTACTATGGTGGGACATAAGCCCACTAGCATTAGGAAGTGCCACATTCTCATGACCCTGTACCTCCACTTTCCAAATGGATTAAGCTAAACAGGAATAGGGCACACAGTGTCTACACATGAAGATTTTCAGGAACAGTTGACTAGCTAAACAGCCATGCCTTCATCCAAACCCAATAAATCAATAATAGAATATAAAAGTTTAGGCCAAGATTTAAAATAATAATAATAGGCTAAATAGGACTCTAAGAGCGTGTCCAGATAAACGTATGTGTGTGGTTTGTAGCGCTATAAACCACATGTGCAGTTAACTTGCAGTAGGATGGGGGTTTTTTGACACTGGGAAATACTGATGTCAAAAAAACTCGTGCCAAAAAAAAAAGCATGCGCCCCCAAAACTGGAGCCTGGCTGGCTGGAGCCATACTCCAGCTGCCAGTCCGGCTCTGCATGCCTGGATTACTGCCACTAGAGCCCTGGGAGGCCCCCAGAACCCCAGGTAAGGCTCCTGGGGCTAGCCCAGATACTAGCCCCAGCCTCCCCTACCCCACTGGGGACAACTTGCCAGGTGCCAGAACATGCATGTACAGGCGCTCCCCAAGGACAATTAGCAGTGGCAAAACTATGTGCCACTGCTATTTGTCCCCAGGAAAATGCACACGCATGGTTGTCTGGACATGTTCTTAAGTCCTGTGTGAGAACTTAATTTCCAAAGATAATCCAGTGAGGCTAGTTTAGCAATGAAATAAGCCATTATGTTTCTTTAAGTAAATTTAAAAGTCTATATCTTTGGACTACTTATTTTTTTTTGAAAGCTTGACTTCACTCTTACAATCTACATATTTTATGCATGGCAAGCGATAATAAAGTTTTGTTCCATACACACTTAGTTTTTTTGCTTTTGTTATATCTACAAACCCATATAACATCATGTACTACATGCAAGTGTGTTATACCCGAGTTTTGTTTTGTTTTTTAAATTTTTTCCCCCCACTTCAAAGATATTACAGTTTAATACTCTAGATCTGAATAGGGAATAAAAAGTCTACTAATGAGATTATGCATATGCATTTTCTCTCATCTAGAATGAATTAACATTTTAACAAATTAACTATGAAAATATTAACAGGTAAATCATATACTTCACATTTTTTCTCTCCTAATCCAACACATATCAAACTGAAGAAAATGCTTCTCCAGCAAAGAAATTCAAACCATTCCATGTTAACTAGGGCAATTAAGTCAAACCCTTAAAAGCTTTTGTCAAATTACTCATCTTTAGATTTATGTAGACTGAAGCGCATGGAAGGAGTGATGCCAATAGCTATTTGGCAGATGTTTCTAACACCGAAGGATTAAACTATATATCAACATAAATAAATACATATGGAAAGACTAAGATACCATCTTTAAATTAAGAAACAAAATACAGAAGACAAATCATAAAACTCCAGCACTCAAATACATAAAAAGTAGTGCATACAATATATTTAAGCAAAGTGTGAGTTTAATGCCATCTGTTTTCATTGGCTACTAACACACAACAGATGGAATGGTTATCATCAAAAGTGAAAACTATTCAGCACTGCCAACTGGCTGAAGAATTTGATGTATTTAATTTAGTTTCTAACTATGACAAGGGGAAAAAAAACATGAATGAAAAATAAGAGATTTTCAGGAACAAAAACATATTATTTAAGGTTTTCATGCAAGTAAGCCACATATGGTGGTCAAGTTTGAGAGTCACAACCTTTTTATTTCCCATACAGTAGCAATAACTGAAACCCATATAAGGATAGAACATGAAGTTGAGAAATGTGGTGATCATTCTACTAATCAGCAATAACTTGACACTACTAACGTTACGGAGACTGTCTCAACACACTGCTGGTTAGCTGCAGTCCCACTTGGTTCATGAATCTGTATATCAATGCTGAAAAAAATACAGACCAGAATTTCAGAATCCACCAGCACGTCCCAAACAACCAAACATAGAAAACAATAAAATGGTTAAGGTTGGTATAGAATTTTCAAGCTAATACCAATTTCAGTTGCTCATAACTCAATTAGAAACCTCTCTCATTGTAAACCTTCATGCTTTGTCCAAGTCCAAAAGTGCACCTATTTTTGGTAAGTTGGTTTAGTGATTTAAGAATAATAGGTTGGGAAGACAAACTGATACATCTTTTCTTCCTGAAGCATTCCAAGTGCAACTGTTGTGCTACCATGCACAGCAGGATTTAAAAAAACAGAAACCCAGAACCTGCCATTTAGATGAAAAAATGATATGAGCTAGAGTTAAATAAGTAAGGATGTTTAACTGGTATGGGAAAATAAGATACAATTCATCAGGTGTGTATACAGAGTTGGCTCTGCTCACTTTATTGACAAATAAGTTTTTAATGCCTTTTTGTACGTCTGCTGTCCCTACAGTACAAAACAGGGTTAATGCTATGTGAAATTAAAAGTATTAGCCCACTTGTACATCCCCTGAAGTGTTTAAGATTCAATGAGTTACTCCTGTCAAAGCTCACTGAAGACAGTGGCATCATTAAAGGCCTAACTGGAAATGCTATAGTAAATACAGTCTACAGAATTTTACTAGTAAGAATGTACATGGGTGGAAAGATCTGTTTAATTTTCTGATCCCATGCTTGATTTCTTTTCAGCTCCATACCATATTTACTCAAATATAAGATGAATTTTTTTCCCCCTCCTATCAGCATAGGGAGCAAACTTCTCATCTGACATTCACATACCTCATTAAGTTCATTATTTATCATTAAACTGCTGCCAAAAATCAGCATGTACTCAGGAATGGAAACCAACTATGAAGTTTATTAAATGAAGCTAACAATAAGCATGACTATAAAACACATGGCCCAGATTGGGCAAACATACTGATGAAAACCTCCCACAAGGTTAGGTTAGCACAGCCCATCTAAATATGATGCATGGTATTATTCATTGCACACAATCCCCCTCAGTGCTGACTCTTTTTCAAGTCTTAGTGAGCCACTGCAATTAATACATTTTACTTCCCCTTCACTCCGGCATCTGAGCTGCGCCTTTCTTTCCCATTTCTGATTATTACTGTTTCTTCACATATCTTAAATCACAGGCATCATTTAAACAGTTCACCCCAAATCCCTGTCACCCCCTCTCTCTGCCTGTCGCCTATGTGCCCTCCAGGAGGTAAAGCCAGACCAGCATGCCCTAAACCTCACCTGCATATACATTTTGGAGGATCCTAGGACTTATGACAAGAACACCTGGTTCCAGTCAGGAGTGGGTGACTAATTAGCACAAGGATTCTTGGAGGGGAGGGAGAGAAGTCATCTGGCACGCGCACACACACACACTAGGGAGTGCTGAGCTGTGGAATCACCATGGTTTGAAATGTTGTTGATTCTGCTGGGGCCCAGCTCAATCAACTGTATGTTAAATCATGAGCCTTTTAGCTTTGAACTAATATCATGCACAATTTGTACTATATGTAAATAGATACAAATATACTACATAAAAGTATGTTTGTTTATGGGGCACCTGCGCTAAACACAGCAGTAGTTTCAAAAAAAGTAAACAACATCTTTTCTGGATGTTCTAATTCTATGGGTACCCAAAAGAATTTGCCTATATGCAAAAATACAGGCATGTTTATTTCAAAATCAGCATTTTTAAATTTGCTCCTCACTTTCGTGTGCTCAGGGAGACCAGGGACTGTCACAGTAACCAGGATGAGGAAGGGGATAAAGTGGGGGGAGGGGGGAAGAGGTTACAGGGGGCAAAGGGCAAGGAGCAACCTGACCCCTCTCCCCCGCTCCACCTTATATTTATTTTATTTGCTGTGGAAGTGGGAAGGGGAAACATTTAAGGCTAATCTCCAATACTTAGATTTTATACCTGGAAAATTATAACCATTTATATATTTTCCATATATAGAAACTAATTTTAGGGGGAGGAGGGGTCTTATATTCAGGGTCATCTTATATTCAAGTAAATATGGTGATATAGGCTAGGAACAGAAATTACACAAAGCAGTA